TTTTTATGACTGTGTTAGTATAGTATGTCAAAAAGACTATTGAAATTAACAGTGTGCATATGCTTAACAGTATAAAATAGGCAGGAATATAAAAATACAAATTGTCATTCCTTCATAGTTACAAATATTTAACCATTTTGTCACGTTATTACTACTTTAAAAATATGGGTCAGTGTGACCTTAAATATTAATAAAAGATTTGATGAGAAAGAATATAAATGTTTTTTATGAATTTTTAGAGAATATTAAAACAATATTACATGATAGAAAAATGACAAATTTACTTTTATTTTTTTTGAGAATATTAAAACAATATTATAAGATAGAAAAATAATTTTTCACTAGTAAAAATCTTTCTCAAATTTGCAAATTGAAATTTGAACATTAAAATTTGTGGCATAAATATAAGTCATAAAATCTGGAAAAAAAAATTATTTAAAAAAAAATTACATTTTATACAACTGAAAAGAATTTATCTAAACTCAACATAAAATTTGTCACAACTACATCTAAAACAATGAAGGACTTAATCAATAAAAAAACAAAACAACCAGTCAAAACATGAAGGAGGAATTTGCGCTATCAAATGCAGGAATTGCCAGAATGAATACACTGGAGAAACCTCAAGAATTTTAAACAAGAGAAATATATGACCACAAAAGGGACATTTTAAAAAACAACACACAAAATGCATTCATTGTTCACCGTAACAAAACTGATCACAATTTTGACTTAGGGAATGCTACTGTGGTTAAAAGAGAAAGTAATCCACTAAGATGAAAATGTCTGGAAAATGTCCGGCCTTGATTGCTAGTTTATCCACAGTAAATTTTTATCCAGGCTCTTACAATATATCACCATTCATGGTAGTTTTTCTGTTGTCACAATGTGGGATAGTCATGGACAAAGGTGATGGAGAGAAAAGAAAAACAATAAAGATGAATTTGGTTAGAAAAAAATTATTTAAAAAATTTTGAAACTACCAGCATCTCTTGTTTCATGCGCATATGTAGATGTGGCAACATCAACAAAGCCCAGTCTGATGAAATCCTAACAGATGAAACGTATCACAAAAACTTTTTTGACAATGTCATACTATTTTTCCAAATTAACATTTAAGTAATATATATCTGTTGTAATGTCCATATGATGATTCTATCCATATAACCACTCACGTGAGCCTGAAAGCTTAGATCAACAACCAATATATAATAAAGAAATATCCAAATGTTGAACAGTTTTTGTCTTTATTTTCTCTTGAAACTAAAGCCATTATATGATGCTTGGAAAGGCTCATGATAAAATATAATAGACATTTGTTGTCTGTTATATTTAACAATATATGTTTGAAAGCTATCATAAAAAATACTGATGTACTTGATGAAGAATGCCGTGAGAAAATTCTTTGTCATGTTTAATAACCACAGGTTCAGATTGACAAGAGTTCTCCACTGGCATGTGTTAGTCTCAGTATAAATCCAAGTCCTCCCCACAAAGTGGGATGTGGCACAAGGCCAGATTTTACATGGGGACATTGTGACCCCATATGCTCAGGCAAAAATTCCCTGTAGACCCCATAATAACAGGGTTAGGTTTGTCTACCTCCCCAGACAAGAGACTGCCCTTCAGCATAGCCCTGTTCGGGTTTCTCTCTGCCCAAAGACAGAGAGTTCAACAAGCTGGGTATTGTCAAACTACCACTACTGGTAGTCTCTCTATTTACCAATCTCCCCACAGGGAAAAATGTGGCACAAGGCCAGTTTTTAATGTGGGGCATTCTGAGTCTGTAGGCTTGCGAAAAAATTGCCTATAGACCTTGACTCTGTCTCAAGGCGAAATGGGCACAGATTATATGGAGCTGAAAGGTTGAGTTCATTAAGAACTGTGGGGGAGATAAACATGCTGCTGCTGTTGCTGCTAGCAAGAAACTACCAAGTTATGAAGGGAAAACTTAATCTAACTGCAACAGAACAGATTTAACCCTAGAACACTAACCATCAATTAAAGTTACACCACTACTAACCATGGGTAAATCATACCCGATTTTGAAAATAACAAAAAAAATATTAAATATAAATCTTTATTTGAAATATTTTACATGCATGCACTCCAAATTTTGTACTTTGAGTTAATATTAATAGGAACTGAAAAACATTATTTAGGTAAGAAAATCAGGTACTGAAAATTGTAATTAAAAATAGGAAAATTTGTGCTGGTATATACCCATGGTTAGTGTTCAAGATTAACAAGAGGCACAGTTTATAGGGATATGGGGGGGGGATATAACAGTTAACTATAGGCTTGAACTGGTTAAGATTGTAGTGACCAAAGAATCATTCTCTTAGGATTCAGTTCCACAAAGCAGTTTTTGTTTTTTGTGATTGCGCATATGTAAATGGTAGAAATTCCAATTTGTAATACTTATTATTATTTATGCGGTGCTATTAACTTTCAATGGGGGAAGGAGAAGTAAGTATAACTGTGGACTAATACGGCAATGGTAATTGAGATGTGGTAGTAATGGGGGGGGAGCAGGTGATGATAATAACAATTGTAGCAGCAAATATTTATTGTAAAGTTGTAGAAGTGATTGTAGTAACGGTGGTGGAATGATAATGATAATTGTAATTATTATGATAGTAGTTTGAACTAGAAAATAATTGATGGTGTTATGATGTCAGTGGTTTCTCTTTTCATGTTTATAGGGTCAATGGTGGTTTATGTAGTAGTGTTAGTATTTTTTTATCTGTTTGGCATAAATTCTGATAATAGGTATTTATTTTCATGCCTGCATTTGGAAATTATTTCTGATCTTATGTTTAGTAAATTCTTTTGTTGGGTATGAGAAATTATTGCTACCTTTTTGTGTAGGCATTTCTTTGTAATGTTGTTGCAAGTAGGTGCTTTTTTCAATATTTTCCAGCTTATTCTTGGTGTAATATTTCTGTCTTTTAGATGCCATATTCGTTTGTTGGCAATTTCCTTGGAGTAGACATATTTTATTTCTGCAATTGCATTGTGGTATCTTGGTTGCATTATTATACATTGTTATTTTTTGTTGTGGCTTTTTATTATTTATGTTATATTTTTTGTGCAGCTGTAACTAATTTTAATGTTAATTTGGGTGAATATTTTTGCTAATCAATTTGTTTCAGTGAAGTGCTTTTTTATTAAGTTTAAGAATGTCCTTCCTATGTTAGTTTTGATGGTTTTATTGTATGGTGGGTTAAACCAGATAATATTTCTTTTTCTGTTTTGGTTGTGAAGGTGTGTATGTGTGCAACAACACATATATGTGCATATGTGGCCAGTCCCACACTGTTTACATATGTTTATGTGAAGTCCGGTGAGTGAGCGTGTGTGTCTACATACGTCAATGAATGTACGTGCGTGTATGTATGTTTGCGTAAGTATGTGTCGTCTTGATGACAATTTTTCTTCCCACTTCCATAAAAAAACCAATATACACACCCATATATAAATCCAAAATTTAAAAATTAATCAGTTTGTCTGACAATCGCAAATAGCGTGAAAACCATGGCCATAATCCAACTAAATATATATATATATATATATATATATATATAATAGGATATTATATATATATATATATGTATATATATAATCCTTTCTATATATATATATATATATATATATATATATATATATATATCTATCAGGCACATGCTGTTAGTAATTACTTAGGGTAGACAACTTATGACTTATGTAGTAAATCTACAAAATAAATATTTTGCATTTTATTCATAATAATCAGAGTAACCTTCATAATTTTGTTGGATTAGGTGCATATTGTTCCACAAAAGGAAAACATAGCTGCTGATCTATTTTATTCAGGGTAAGCACTGCCTACTATTATATATATATATATATATATATATATATATATATATATATATATATAGTAAGGTAATGAAGGGTTTGGTTAACCTGTGTGGATAATTCCAAAGAGAATGTGATCCAGAGAGCTCAATGTAAAACCAGAGCAAATATTAAATAATTAAGAAAACCTTAAGTTTACATGAGTATAATTTATTTCCCCAGAAAATATATTTTTTCTGGTTCATCAGGTCACATCTCTAGTTACCTAGTTATATATATATATATATATATATATATATATAAAATCAATTCCCCCTGAGCAAGGTGTTAATGCAAGGGGGTAATGGGAGTGAAAGAGAATAAAAAACTTTTAATGGAACCAGAAACTTAATCATAAACAAGAAACAAGGGATAAACCTCTAATCCTATTCTAAAACCAGATAGAAGTGTGAACTGGGAAATAGGCAAACCTATCTACTAGTGTGACAAAAAAAAAAATCAATAACTAGTAAATAAAATTTCAGAGTTTAGTATACAGTTGAAGTAGACTTTAGAAGGAACCAGAAACCCAATCCTAAACAGAAAACAAGGGATAAACCTCTACTCCTGTTCAAAAGGCTTGGAAAGAATGTGAACTAAATGATAGGTAAACCTATATATACATATACATTTCAACAGTTTACTAAGGATAAACTCCTCCTAATTTTTTTGTTTGCAAATCTGTAAAAGTTTATACTCATCTTTATTCTCAATACAATCATTGAATTTTATTGAAATATTTATTACTGTTGTTTAAATTTTTTTAAATCCTCAGCTAAAATGCATCATTAAATGTAAACAATTTTAAATTTGTATAATTAACATAACTTATTCCTTTTTTAAGAAATTGGTTTCTCCAGCCATTCAAATAAATATATGGAAATATATGTACATACACAAAAGTTTTTATTGCCTTTTGAAAATTTTTTTATATATATATATATATATATATATATATATATATATATATATACACACACACACACATACAAACATACATGTAAATATCTATACAAAATTTAGAAAAAAGTTCATTCAAAAATGTACTTTGAGATATTTAAAAAATTTTAATTATTTACATTATAATTTTAAATTGGACATTTAATAAATATACAAATGGATTATGAAATTTTGAAGAAATTTGTAATTTTTTGAGTCCCAATTGCAAATGTTTCTTTTTTTTCTATTGCTCTCTGCTTGGTTTGATCTGCTGTGACCTTCTTATGACATAAAACACAAAGTGTTCTGAAGTTGTCAATATCACATTGTCCACCTCCTTTATAGACAGCTTTGATATGATCAGCTTGCCAGAACTAATGAAAATATAAAAGTAAATTTTATTAAAATTAAGATAAAATACAATTAAAATAGATTAGAATTGATATAAAATAAAATTTAATTAAAACAAAAGACAAATAAGATAAAACACAATTTAATTAAATTCCAGATAAAATAAACTTTAATTAAAATAAAATTTGGCAAACATGGACAAATGTGCCCATAATAAGACAGTGTCAAATGGATGATTTTTCCTGTAATATTGTGTTTTTTGTTGTTAATTCTCAAGGACAAAAAAAAAAAATTAATTTCATTTTCATCATGTCTAGGTTTTATTCCAATTCTAACAATCACTTTTGAAAACAAAAAACATTGTCAGAGTGAAGGTAATTAAAAAAAAATGCAGTGTCATGAGAAAAACCATCCTCTTGACACTATGCCTTATTACAGACATGTTTGTCCATGTTTGTCTAAAATTTATTTAAATTCTAAATAAAATAAACTTTAATTAAAATAAAATAAAAATAAAAAGGGAACTTATTAAAATAAAATAAAAGAGAAAAGAAATTTTTTTTAAATTTTGTAACAAATGTAAGTTAATTTCCATAATACATTTTTGTATTTAATAATTAAAATGTTCCTTTGCAATATGGTGTTGGAAAGTTATCAATCTGATCACCAAGAAACCCTTTATCCAAAAAAGTCTGACCAAATGTTGAAATTTTGGGAAGTGAATTCAACAATAAACTTTTCATCAGATCCTCATATATTAACCTTACAATTTTATTTTAGGAATAATTCTTATTTTATTTAATTATTCATCTTACCTTTTATTTATATTATTTAATATTCATAAGCTTAACTTTTTCAAAGTATTCTAAGTAGATATTTTACAAGTATATTATGATTTACAGAATTCTCTGAGTAAATTTATCAATTCATTTTACATAAAATAGTTGAGTGTTATTTGTGAGTTATGTAAATTTAATATGAATGAACAAGTTACTGAATTACTTAATAATTATACCACTACAAAAAATAATTTTATTATGTAGGTTGCATTCATATGAAGATTTCTGAACACAATTCTGAATTCAAATTTAGTGTTAATTTCACTTACCATTCCTGAGGAAGGATTCTTGATAATAGCTTCTTTTTGTTTGGAAGTCAATTGGTTAAATTGACTTGATTGCAAGATCTTCACTCGCTTTCTTACATCTGGTTGGCTCCTGTGTAATAGAAAATAATGAATATTTTAGAGATAAAAATTACATTTAAAGGATATCATCATTGTTACTAATTTTTTTTAAATAATTTTGTTTTTAATGCCTTGTTTCTTCAGGGTGAAGGCAATCATGGCTTTCCACATTTTCCTTTTCTTTATTATCTGTGAATTATCATGACTATGTTTGAAAGATAATGGAATGGTTTCTTGCTACCATCTCCATTTCTAAAAAGAATACCCGCTCGGCCCGGGTTTGGATGGTTATTTATTTTTGGCTGGGCCTACGGGCTCAGAGATACCCACATTAAAAAGGCCTTGTGCCACATTCGATCCCCGTGGGTGGATTGATAAATACCATCTCCATGGTTTGGAATTCAGGGTTTTCCTTCTCTTTGACTGGCTGTCACCCAAGGTTCAAGAGTCCAGTCTACCCTTCTATTTAACAAATTCACTTTAAATTAAAAGTTATCTCTCTTCAGTACTTAGACAGTCATGGCTCTCCACAGATTCCTTTTTTATTATTATCTTTGAATGGCTGACTTCTTTGGAAAGAAATTGATTTCCCTGTTGCTTTCTCTATGGTTTAACTTTTCTTAGACTGGCTGCCACTCAAGGCTAGAGATTCCAGTTTACCTTGATACTTAATGATTGCAGAAGAGAAGAAGAGTTTTTTCACATTGAGGTTCAGAAATATTAACAGTGCAATTGTTTAATGAATATTAATTTTGGTTTGGTTTGTTTTGTTTTACGGCATATCAACCTCAATGGGTCATTTAATGCTGAAAACTTTTTTTTCCTGGTAATATTTTTGTTTTGTCAAAAATCTATTTCTGTTAATATTTTTTTCCTGAAAAATGTACAGCTGGTAATATTATTTTTTCCAAAACGTATTGCTGGTAATAGTTTTTTTTCCAAAGTGTATAGCTGGTAATAGTTTTTTTTCCAAAGCATATAGCTGGTAATAGTTTGAAAGTTATTTGGATACTTTTTCTTGAATGATAAATCATTTTAACATGAAATGAAATGTTTCAATTATGTCACTTGCATATTTAAGCTGTGGCATATCCCTGTGAATTAGGCATTTCAGCCTATTTTAAGCAAAATAGAAATTATCTGTACTGAGAAAATGTGATGTGATGGGGCAAAATGGACTTGATTTGAAGATTCAGCATGAAAAAATAACCCAGAAATATGTGCCCATTGCCCAACAATAATTGGGTAAAAAAAATGTCAACTGGTGTTACATTTTCTCATAACCTACAATTCTTATCCCCTCCTCTTATGTCCATAAAACAATCTCATTCTACCTGGAATGGCTCTCAGGCCTTGTATTGGTAAACAATAGCGTAAAAAATTTTTTAAAAATTAAAATATTGAACTTGTACCCATCTGTAGATAATAAACAATAATTATAAAAACTTAAATAAACTGGAAAAAAAAAATCTTACTTTATTTTTTGGAAAAATGACTCTGCATCCAGTCCACACAACTGACAAATACCATGCTCAATTTGAAATAACTTTTCTCGACAGTACCCTTGCTTGGTTTTCATCTGGAAGAAAAAATATAATTTTGATTAACTGAAATCAAAGAATAAAAATTACAAATGATTGTTGACATGTTTACAAGATGTAAACATCTCAATAATATAAAATCAAATATTCAGCTTTAGATCTGAGAATTTCATTAGTGTATATACACAAATATAGTGTGAGTTTTAGGATCAGTTTTTTTATGAAAAAAAAAAAAAAAAAAAAAAAATAGTGAGTTGCATAGGCAATTTTTTTTGAAGAGGTTAAAAATCATGAATTTTTGATGACTGGATGCACTATACACAGGTAATTTTTTTCTGGAGGGGTTAAAATTCATGCCAAAAAATTTAGGGGTTGCACTATTCATGAATCTGGTTTATACATGAGTATATATGGTTAGATTCAGATCTGCTATTTTCTAGTTCTTAAAAACAAATAATCTGCTGGTATTTACCAAATAAATATCCATACACTCATAGGAACAAAATCTCGTATTCCAAGCATTCTCTGGCTTTTTTACAGTATCTTCATTTATAAGTGTATTATCAAATGGTTTTTGGCAGTTAATACACATTGGCATACCATCTGAATCCAATGCCTGAAAGAAAAAAAAAAGAATTTAAAAATTGAGCATGGCAATATATCAAGTCAAACGTTGAAATTATATATTTTTTCCTTTTTTATCCTGTGACCTGTAGAGTCGTAGGGTCACCATGTTTACTGCAGCCACAGTAGAAATAGTGTTCCTTTGGGCAAGATAGCCTGATGGAGCCCAACCCTCTCCAGGCCAGTGTTGAATTTAGTTTTTCCTTCTAGACCAGTGGCCATCCAAGCTATAGAACTTGGTCTGTCCTGCTATTTACCTATAGCTGGGAGGGAGAAGAAAAGGATTCATACCTTTCCCAAGGGTATTAGCACATAAGTGAATGTAATGGATCTGTAAGCCGCCCATTTAAGCTAGCTCCTGTGGAGGACTCTTGGTTTGGCCATCACAATAGCTAGTGAGAAGTAGATGTGATAGGCATTAATAAACTACAGAAGAACTCAAAGTTGATTGCTGCATTTAAGTATTGAATTTATGTTTAAGCTTACCTTTTAAAACTTCAACAATAATTCTTCTGCTGTCACTTAATTCAAAGACGATTTGATGTATGTAGAGCCTTATTTTCTGTACAAACTATTATTTTTATTTTATGGGTGACAGAACAGGGGACAATTTATAAGATAAAATTAATATAGTTTAAAGATAGGAAAAGAAAAATTAGAATTAGTTATACATTCAACATTTGAAGAGTTAGAGAAACATAATAGCTAATTAAGTAAAACCTATATTATGGAATCTATATGAATAAATGAGAAATTGGAGCTCAATTCTCCCATAAATTCTGAGATTAAAAAGCTCCAGCTCTACTTTATAGTAATTTGGTATTTACTTGACCCCTCCCCCCTCCACGAAGTCACACTGTGACACAAGGATGGTTTAATGTGGGGACACCCAGCCTAGAAACAAAAATTCCCTGAGCACCTGCAACTGTTGGTTGTGCTGGCTTCGGGACGAGCACTGATCCCTCTCTCTAGTGCAATGAGAGAGTGCAGCTGTTCCCCAAGGCCGAGCATCTCTCAGTATAATTTTCCTCAGTTGTGATTCTGTCCTTCAACGGAGCTGCCCCTGAGTGCACTCTGCCCAAAGACGTCCAGAGACACAACTGAGAGATGATAAATGTGTTACAAACTACTTTATAGTAATTTACACATGGTATTTACTCTATCTCCCCACTGAGATGAGATGTGACACAAGGTCTTTTTTTAAGGTGGGGACCTGAGCATGAACACCTGGGCAAGGAACAAAAACTGTCCACAGCCAACCATCAGTTGCGCTGGCCTCAGTGTGAGCACTGATCCCTCGCTCTGGTGCTATGAGAGGGTGTGGCCTCAGGAAGCTGTTCCCCAGGGCTAGACACCTCTCATTATAATTTTCCTCAGTTGCAAATGTCTGAAAGAGACACAACTGAGAGATGATAAGTAATGTGTTAGAAACTATTCAAAAGAGTAATTTACACACCGTATTTAGTTGACCCCCCCCACT